AATCACCTGTTCAGTGTCTGACTTCTTCAATCAATAGACTATGAACTTGGTGAGAGCAGGGTGGGGCCATTTCTGACCACTTCACTGTTGTATCCATAGTTCTTAGCTTTGTAGGTACTCATTAAAAGATTAGATAAGACAACTAATTGCTTAATAGGAAGATGGAAAGTATGAACTGGATGATAGTAGACTTGGGATTATGAAAGTATGCTTAAAATACTAGTGAATTACTGAATTGATGTCAGTCTAAAGATTAGCTCTGACTGTAAAACTCTTAAAGGAAAACAGGGAGAAAGCATCATGACTTGGGCTTTGGCAATGATTTCTTGTATATAACACCAAAAGCATAGGCAAGAAAAGAAAAAAATAGGTAAGTTGGACATGATCAAAATTTTGTGTTTCAAAGAACACTATCTACAGCAAAAACGTAGCCTATGGAGTGGGAGATACAATCATGTACTGGATAAGGAATTGATACCTAAAATATATAAAGAACTCCTACAACCCAACAGACACAAACAATCCAATTCAAAAATGGAAAAAGGACCTGTATAGACATTCCTCTAAAGAAAATATACAAATGGCCATAAACACATGAAACAATGCTCAACATCACTAGTTATCAGGGAAATGCAAACCCAAATCACTTCATACCCATTAGGATGGCTATTATTGTAAAAAACAAACAGAAAATAACTAGTATTGACAAAGATGCAGGGAAATTGGTACATTCTTGGTGGGAATGTAAAATAGTACAGCCACTGTGGAAAACTATGGCAATTCCTCAAAAAATCAAGTTTAGAATCACCATATGATCCAGCAGTTACACTTCTGTAAGTTAATGAAGTTGACTTACATTAAAGACTAAAGGAAAAAAAGCTAAAGGGAAAGGAAGTTAAAGCAGGGATTCAAACAAATATTTGTATACCTATGTTTATAGCAGCTGTATTCACAACAGCCAAAAGGCGGAACCAAGTGTCCACTGCCTATTACACAGAGTGAAGTCAGAAAGAGAAAAACAAATATCGTATATTAATGCATATTTATGGGCTCTAGAAAGATGGTACTGATGAACCTATCACAGCTTCTGTATCCATTCATCTGTCAAACTGAATTTTTCTTGTTTATCACTTGTTCACCAGCACCTAGCATAGTACTTGCATTCTGAAAGCAATCAGTAAATATTTGTTGAATGAAAGGAAGGAAGGATCATACAAAATCTCTCCTGGCCACCCAAACTCACATTGATCCTTCCTTTGGTTCTTGACTTCGTGGAGTAGGTGAGATAGAATAAATAATTACCATAAAGGACACAAGTAGGATGTTGTACTACAAAATGATGGTGTGTATGTGTTGGGGATGGGGGAGTGCTATTTTGTTGGGGTAATCAGAAAAGGCCTTTCTGAGGAGATGAGACCTTGAGGATGTGAAGGAGTCAGCCACTGGGAAAGGGGAAGGCCAGAGTCAAGAGCATGCCAGTACAGAAAACCAGTGTGTATAATTGCAAGTCCTGAGGCAGGAAGAGCGTGGCACATCGGAGGTACTGGAATTAGATTGGTTTGACTGGAGCATGGTGAGTGTGAAGAGAAGGGCATGAGGTGAAACTGGAGAATGCCTGGGGCCTGGAAGGCATTGTTAAAGATCTTAGATTTTATATGAATTATATTGGAAAGCCATTGGAGGGTTTTAAGGAAGGAACTGATGTCTATGATTTAGACACTTTTTAGGATGACTCAGGCTACTCTGTGGAGAACAGATTGAAGGAGAGCAAGAGTGGAAGTAGCAGTTAAGAACTGAATGTAATGGACCATGTGAAAGATGGTGACTTCATCTGGAGGGATGGAGAGAAGTAGATAGTTTTAAGATATTTCTTGGCAATAGACATAAAAGTATTTGCTTATGGTTTTACTGAGGAGTAAAGGATGAAAGATGACTCCTATGTGACTGACATGATAACTGGATGGATGGATATATATCATTTACTGTGGTGGGGAAATAGGGTATGGAGATTAGATTTGGGGGAAATGCAAAAGTTTAGGACTTAAGTTTGAGGTGCCAGCAAGACACAAGGCAGTGTTGAAAATGCCAGTTGACTGTGTCTAGAACTCCTATGGATAGGCTGAGAGGGAGATAGAAATTCTAGACTTACAATTATACAGATGGTATTTAGTGACTTGTGATTGGATGGATTAGAAAGTAAGCAGAAGGCCCAGGGCATGTTTGTGTACTGATGGGAATAATCTAAAGGAAGGGGAGAGGTTAATAATGCAGGAAGGGGGTCAGAGGCATGATCATGAGACCAATAACTACATTCTATATGGTCCTTGTTTTGTTGTTTAGGGGCTTCCCTGGTGGCTCCAGTCTGTCTTTATTAGCTAACTTAGTAATTATTTCAATATGGACTATGAACATGAAATATGGTGATGCTGAGAGTAGAATGTGGTCCTATTTTCCCATTATTGCTAGTGTATGTCTCTTCAGTTAGCTGTAGGTTCCTTGTAGGCAGCTGTTATACTTTCCTTTTACTCCACTGTGCCCAGCACAATGCAGGATAGAAGATAAATGCTCAGTGCTTCTTGTAAGGCCCTTGCTGAAACCACGGATCCTGGTACATAATGCTAAAGACTGTTTCTTTCCTGGGCCAAGCGATGCCTGCTTCATACTTCGTATGGCTGTGACTCCTGTTTTTCCTTATTGTTATTATTACATTTAAATCCTAATGGTTATATTTTAAAACTCTTGCAGACACTAAGCATAAGAGAAATAAAGAGATCCCAGGGATTGTGTAGCTTCCTTGACAAGGGAAAAACCAACTCATCTTTTACAACAGCGTACTGACATTTCAAAACTGGCATTTAATTATTTACATACTCTAGTATATTAAAAGTATGTATACATTTGTATAAGTAAATCTGTGTCTGTATAAAAATTTTTAATAGTTCAACTACTGACAGCTAGAATAGAGAACTTCACCAAAGCTTGGGAGACCTCCTGCTGTTTGGAAAACAAAATAAATCACAGTAATCCATGATTCCCTGTAACCAAATACATTTTGAGTGAACGCACTGGTGATGACTCAGTGTCTAGCAAGGTGCTGGGCCTGGCCAGACTGTGTTTGGTGCTGGGAACTGGGCAGCCAGAGGCCAGCAGCCCAGAGCTCACAAAGCACATCCAAACAGCACGTGCTTAGATCAGGCTGACTCAAGGGGGTGGGTGGGAGCTCCAGGAGAAGAAATGCATGTCAAGCTGTGGGGTTTCTATGTGGGGAATGGGGAAGATGAAAGCTCCTGAAAGACTGGCAAAGAGGAGAAATAGGCTCCCAAGAGTCTTCAACAGAACTTAAGCTGTGGGAAAAAAAAAATAATCTTGAAAAGTTAAATCCACCCTGGACAGTAATTTTGTTTGTTTGTTCAGTTGCTAAATTGGGTCCAATTTTTTGTAACCCCATAGACTGTAGCCCGTCAGGCTCCTCTGTTCATGGGATTTTCCGAGCAAGAATACTGGAGTGGGTTGCCATTTCTTCCTCCAGGGAATCTTTCCTACCCAGGGATCGAACTGGGATTGAACCCGCATCTTCTGCATTTGCAGAACCTGCTGAGCCACCAGGGAAGCCCCAACACTAATTAATGGGACACTAAATACCATTAAGATTTCTAAGTCCCTTTCACTTTTGACCCTAGCTCCAGCCACAGGACGAAGGAAGAGGGAGGCTAGCACAGAGCTGTGGGCAGGCTATGCAGTATGAAGATCCAGACTTCCCAGAATCACGCATCATATCCTGTCCTGTCCTCCCTCCGCCACAGGGCAGACCTGAACTTGCTTAGGGCTGGATTGTGCTTTGGAACTCCAGGGTCCCTCATAGTTGCTTCGGGCTCTGAGGTGGGGCTTTGCAAAGGAAGCCTGAGTTCTTGTATGTTTGATGAAATAACTGGATTTTTTTCATGCTTTAAATATGTGTGAGGCACTCATTTCTGAACCTTCTCTTTATCTTCTTTCTGTGATCATCTACTTACCCTCTTCCCCAGGCAGTGTTGGTTGCCAAGCACAACTAAACACTGGGCCAGAAAGTTAACAGTTGGAAGTGTGGTTACCTACAGGCAGAAAACAGATCCCGTCTGTTACAGTAACCCAGATAAGGAGCCATGTCAGAGGCTTTGTTATTTATCCAACCCTTAGAGCGTATCTTCTTTTTAACTTAGTTTATTATTTAACTCCTTCCAATATAAAATATTGGGCCACAAACTTGTTTCTGTGCTCTATAAACTGTTTGCTTTAAATGTGTCATTAAAATTTTACCACCAAATTAAGCTCCCTTGACTTTTCTTAAATATGTGTTTGTGACTTTGGAAAATATGAGTGGTCTGGGTTAGAGAAAAGAAAGTGGCAGTAGGCTCAAGTTATTAAGCAGCAGAGGAAATATGATCCAATTTGATGTTTTTTAAAGCAAGAGAGATGAGTCTGTGAGTTTAAAGATTTTGTAGAATAAACAAGTTTTTGCAAAATCTTCCTATGGTTCTCTTACGCCATCCCCACCCTGTCCTCCACACCCAGCGCAGTAATCTTTCCGCAGAACCTATCTGATCACCAGATTCCCTTGCTTAAAGCTGTGAAGTTCAAACTCCCTGGGCCACCCTGGGTTCTCCCATGACCTGCTCTCTCTGAGCTCATTTCTTCTCTCCACCTCCCTCCCTTAAAGAGCACCCCCATTGCAACAAGTAGGCCTTTGCTGCCCCGCTGTTTAAAAGCCCACCAGCACCCTCCACTGGGAAGTGCTTCCTCCTTCAAGAGTTAAGTTAAAAACCACCTTTCATGGTGGTTTCCCTGGGCCTTCCTCTCTGGTCAGTGGCACTCAGCTGGCACTTTCCCTGTGGTAGCGATCAGAGTATGGAATGTCGATTTACAACATGCGTTTCCTGGCCCCTGTCTTAGCGCAGTTCTTGACACACAATGGACACTGTCTTAAATGGTTGCTAATAAATGAATCCTTGGGTTAAATACAGCTTTCCTCTCCCCTGAGCACTTTGAAGGTACTCAGAAAAGGAAAAGGAAGTGACTAAAGGGTAGACGGTTTAAACGGAACACAGCACCCACCCTGTCTGGGGTCACCCCTGGCCACTGGGATGGAGAAAGGACGAAGAGAGACCCGGATCCCAGCACTGCTCTGGAGCTGCGGAGAATTCTCTTATTGCTAACAGGGCCAGCTGCTGCATTTGTGGGGCCCAGTATAAAAATGGAAATATGGGGCCCCTGCTCAAAGATTATTAAGAAAGTCAACACGGGACAGCAGAGCATTAAACCACTCTGGGGCCTGTGCAGCTGCCCCAGTGACGGAAGTTGTGTCATGATCACAGCATCTAGAAGTACAGGAGAGTAGGGAGGATAGGAGAAATTTTGGATCAATTTTTTAAAGAATAGCTTTAAAATATATAAAATTGTTTTAAAAACTTATTTTTCTTGCCCCTTCATAAGGCGTCTCCAGTTTTGTTTGCTTGTTTTCATTTACAAGTGCAGATTCTTTTAAAAAGTAAATCACTTTGTTTCACATTATTTTAAGGAAAATACCACATATGCTTCATTAGTTCCTACGAAATGCTATGATCCACAACCTTCCCACTTAGCCTGGAATGAAGCAACACATTATTGCACTTCCTTCATTTAATCCCAAAATTTCAGGAGGGGCAGGGGGTGGGAGAGGCTGGCTTGGCTTTCATGGGATTATGTTAACACAAAATATTTTTATCACCCTTTTGTGGATTTTTTGAAAAAACTTTGCATCATTTATTCTTCATGCAAAAGCATCCAATCTGCCAAACGTGACTTTATTTCATAGCAAGATTAGCAAATTGGAAATTGTGACATTTAAACCCTAAATGAAGTTTATCATATCAGATGGATCATGATGAAATGTATATGGCTAATGTAAATGAATGAAGATTTATGGTCTTTTTAAAACCCAACTACTTTGAAATGGTTAAGTTGATTTGCACTGCTGCACGTCCTCCAGCAGGGGACGACATGCAGAGTGCCACATATCCAGCCTCTCCCAGTTGGGGTCTACAAAGCTCCTACCTGCCTTTGTCTCCCTCCTTGGGACAGAAGCAAAGGGACCACACAGCTTCAGTGACCACAGCACTATGAGATGTAACAGAGAGTGGGACTGCCCATGAAGCCAGACCAGCGGACCAACACCAGGTCCCAGCCTTCCTTTCAGAGCTCTCATCTCGCGTGCCCCACGCTTAGCAGTTTCCCTGTTCTTTTTTACTAATTCAAAGCCTAGAGGACCTAGGGATAGGGCTTAATCCCTGAAACAAAATCCTTGTACTCTAATTTCTCCACAACATAAAATTTTCACTGCTTAGGTTCATCTGTAAAGATCTGATTGTGTCAGAATTCTTAAATCAATGAGCTCAGTATTCTCGTCTCCAGATGAGATGATTTACTACCGGCTTCCTATGGCCCTTCAAAAGTTCGCAAGAGAACGCATGTGGGGTGGAGGTGACTGGTAGAGGAGTTGCTCAAATCAAATCTCACTTTTGTGGTCTGGGGTTATTGTGTTACTGAGAAGACAGGATTGCTGAGGGTAGAAGAGAAAGTGACTCTCAAAAACATTTCACGGGAGAGAAATGTTCATAGGTCAAACTCAGACTGTGGGTCTCTGGCAGAGCCCAATCTGTACAAGTCTGTCTGCAGACTGCACCTGCTGCTCCTCACTTACATTTCCTCACCTGAGAAGAAACACGCACACAGATGCCCACTTGCTCAGCTGAAGATGCCTGTAACTCAGAAGAAATACATACACCAGAAGAAACCTAACTGCGCAGAAAACACAAACGGCCGGTCCCTTAGACGCTCACCTTGCAGGACTCACGCTGACGCACTGAAGGTGTGCGCATTGAAGTGAGCTGTGTAGCCTGAGCAGGGCTGGCAGAAGGGGACCGTGGATAGGCGGGGAAGGGGGGAGGCAGAACGGACCACAGAAACCACATTTGCACACACAGTAATAATACGTTACTTTAACAAGCTCCACGGGCATTTCGTAGCTTTACAAATGACTATGACTTTGGCCTTCTTAAATATTTCACACCATTACACTGGCCCTCACCAAAATTCCTAGTAAAGGCCATGAGCTGCCTCCAGAGATGAGGCCATGGGGACCAGGGCTGTTCTTCTGCCTACAGCTAAGATTTCATGCCTGAGACAGGAACAGCACTGGATCAATCTACAAGAGTAGTTACTCCTCAACAGCAAGCAGTACGCTTCATCTGCAAAAGCACTTTTCTATACTTTCCCTAACTTTCACCCTGTCGATCAAGTCTGATACAGTGGTGCTACGTTTCTGGGTCACATGGCAACCACTATGCCTAATACTCAGCAAACAGGAATCCAAATGGACAAAAAAAAAAGGCAATCCAATTTTGTAAGAAACAATATATTTTATTTTTCTGACACCACAGCTCTGGTGAGTGGTTTTGTACCAAATTTAATGGAGGTTACACAGAACGTTTTACGCATGGGAGGGGGAGGAAAGGGAAGGACCCACAAAATTAAAAACAGAAAAACAAAATCCTGGATAGCTTTTAGCATCTGTTCCACTCCCACATTAATAAAATTCACTTGGGAATTCCTAATAAAAGGAGAACAGAAAACAAGGTGGGCAGGGAAGGGGTAGGATGGGGAAGAAAAGACGAAGGGCAAAGAAGACCGTCGAGCATCCCAAAGACAGACCCTTCCCTCCTGGAGCCGGGACGATGCTCGGCATGGAAGGTGAGGCTTGCTTAGATTTATTTCCCCAAAGAATCACCATGTATTGCAGCTGCCAAAGGGAAAGAGAGGAGGGAAGCAGGGGGTCACCAGTGAAGGACACAACAGGGGGAAACTCACTCAACCAAGAGATGGGGAAGGAGAGGGGAGGGAAAACGAGAGAAAAATGTGCAGGTGGGTCTGTAGGCTGGGAGAGGCAGACAGTGCTGAAGAGCACTTAAACTGAAAAACAAATGTCCTAAGCGTCATTATTTTTAAAAAGAAAAATCTCCCCCTCCCCCCACCCCTCGCTGAACTTAGTTCCTTTTTTTGTGCTTTTCATTAATACTCTGCTCTGAGGTTGTAGTTTGGTTTTTCTATACACTGGAGTTGAAAGAAAATAGTCCAAAGGTCTGAAGATGGATTCTCCACCTAAAGTAAACAGCCCAGCATTCCTGTTCTCCTCTTGTCCCAAAGACTAAAGTCTCTGCTAAAATCCCTTTTACAATATAGTACAGTACACAAAAAAAATAAAGCCCCAAGCAAAAACAAAACCAGAAAAGAATCCTGGGAGAAGCCAAGTCCAAAGGACGTAAACATACAGAGAACGGTGCAACACGTGACCCATGGCGATTCTCAAAGCACGGCTACAGATTCCCAAAAGGAGGTGCCATCACGGGATACCCAAGTCCACAAAAATAATTTTTAAAAAATAAATCTTAAAAAAAACACACCTGTTGATTAAATGAATAATTTGTTTTCAGATAAATCCATACATTCTCGAGTTCCCCCCGCCCCCAAAGCAGCCCTTGGGTCTCTGTTCTCCTATTGCATGACCGACAGTGCTCCTGGAACGCCCTCATAGCAGCTCTCAGGACCTGGAATCTCATCTCAACAAGGATGGGCACATCCAGTCTTAGCAGCTTAAAACATCATGTTTCCTGGGTTGCCAGGTCCTTGGCTGAATCCACCCATGCCCACGTCAGCGGCCATGCCCCGGGGCCTCATCTGTGGGGGGATCATGATGTTCTGTTGGGGTCCCATCATGCCCTGCATGGACATCATCATGCCTGGAGAGCCCACAGGCCCAGGGTGAGTGTAGAGCCCGGCAGGCCCCCGATCCTTGCCAGGAATCATGCCCACGGCAGCAGCGGGATTGCTCATCAGGGTGGGCTGGCCGGGCATTGTAGATTGTGCTGGTGACATCATCCGATGGTGAGGTCCCATCATGCCTTGCTGGAGAAAGGCTGGTGGTCTCATAGGGTTGTGGCCTGGCATGGACGGAGCTGTCCCAAGAGGGATGTCTGGAGTTCCCACGGGCCCCGGACCTCCCATGCCAGGTAATGCTAGTCCCATTCTGGGGGCTTGTTCGCCCATCATCCCCTGCATGTGCGAAAACCCAGGTCCAGGACCCTGGGGCTGTTTACGGCCTGGGACTTCCCCTCGAGGGAAATATTGCAGTGTCTGGCTAGGCTTCTCAGATGGGATAATGCGAGACAGGTCAAACTCAGGTATTCCGGTGGCTCCAGGTCGGATGACCTCCTGTAGATCTGGGTCTGTAAACACTGAAGGCATGCTGTTTCCCAGGACAGCGAAGGAGTCAGGACCTCCCGGGCCTCCAGGCTTGCAAAGTGCTGCATCTGCTGAACTTTGGGGCAGGTTGCTGGGGCGGCCAAGAGGCCCTTCTCCTGGGAAGCCCATCCCTCCTGGGAAGTTGCCCTGCCCCCCACTGGGGCCATTGTGAGGAAACGGAACCTGCTGTGGAGGAGACTGAACTGGAGGGAAACCCTGGGGAAAACCCATGCGTCCTTGAGGTACCATTGGAGGCTCCTGGGACCCATGCCCCATGATAGGATTGTGTGACATCAAACCAGGCCCCATTGGGACTCCATGAGGAGGTATGTTGGGTCCCATGGCGTTCGGAGAGGGCATCTGATTGGAGTGAGAAAGTGGCTGGGTCATTCCCATTGGGCTGAGGGTTGGCATTGGAACCACGGGGTTTGGACCTGAAATTCGAGGATTCTGTGTATTAATGCCCATTCCTAGAAAAATAAAGATATCAAATGAATCAATTTCACCAAAAGTAACTCAGAAAAACTATCATAAATCAAATTAACAAAAAAAGTGACTATGCATCAAATGTGCATGGGACTCGGCTGAGAAAATACACAATGCACAATCTACCCTCAGGAAGGTTATAACACATTTTGGGGCACACAAACCAACAACTCCACAAGACAATGTATTACTGAGCTTTAAACTGTACAACATATACGTATATAGAAGACAGCTAGAAAGTCTCCTGAGTGAAAAGTTACAAGTTAATACACAAATGAGTATAGACTTCTTCATTGGAGGTATTTAATTCAGAAGAAAACAATTTGCCTAGATGACCTGTAGTACAATCCTTTTTGGAGAAAGAGGATTCATCAGTCCTACAAGTCCAAGAATCAGAAGTAATAGCAATGAGGAAACCAAATAGGCCTTTTTGAACTGATATGTATGTGGCATCACTATTTTATACTGCATTTCATTTTATAGAGCATTTCAAACTCTAGATTATATAAAATGGTGAAGAAAAGCATTTCTAACTCTAGATTATATAAAATGGTGAAGAAAAGCTAACTTTTAATGGAAAAGAAAAACACAGAGGTTCTACCATGGCCTCTAGGACATTTAAATATTTGGTCTTTCCATGAAGATAACCACCAAGTATGGTAAGAATGATGGTTGTCCAATCCATGGAGCATGCCCTAACCTGATTGATGATAAAAAAGCATTCTTAACAAATCAGAATGGAACTGGAACCAGAAACCCATGGCTGAAGTTATGGTCTCTTTGTTGACCACCTTTGCCCTCCCACATCATTTCCTGTTAGTGAGATTTGGGGAGATGGGAGGTATAGGAGTGCAGGAGAACAAAATGAGGAGGGGAGGAATTTTATTTTCTCTCTAGGCCTAAAGAAAGTGCTTCTCTAGGAAACAGGGGTTTTCCATTGTCAGAAATTCTGTGGCTGCTTGCCCTTTCAGGAAAATAGTTGAGGACTCAAGACATTCCTAGCTGAGCCGAAGTTGCTCAGTCGTGTCTGACTCTTTGTGACCCCATGGACTGTAGCCCCCCCAGGCTCCTCAGTCCATGGGATTTTCCGGGCATGAATACTGGAGTGGGTTGCCATTTCCTTCTCTAGGGGATCTTCCCGACCCAGGGATCGAACCCAGGTCTCCCTCATTGTAGGCAGACGCTTTACCGTCTGAGCTACCAGGGAAGCCCTAAGACATTCCTATTAGCATATTAAAAAGATACTGCTTTCAGTTTCGCTCCAGGAGGAGCCACCACCTAAAAATAAGCACATTGAGGTACACAGAAGCATCAGAACTTCTGTAAGAAAATGACAAGAACTCTAAAAAAACTTGCTTTCTTATCCACAAACACAGAACGAAATAAGCTAATCCAAAAAAGTGTTATTCTCTTCCTCTAGACATTTTAGTTTTACTGAAACTAACTCAGGTGGTATACTTTTTCAACCTGCTGAACGTCAAGCTTATTGAGGTCTACAGATATCAAGAAAATACCTCAAGACGTTTTTCTTTTGTCAACAGCAATAGGGCCATATCCTATCTTCCTGATTTCTTACCTGGCATATTATTCATTGATGGCAAGTTGGGAGAACGAGCTGGAGGGGAGTCATCATCTGAGCTGGCCACAGTCTTGATGGCGTCGTGGTATAACGGGGTAGAACTGGGCATTGCAAACTTGGACATTCGAGACATCATAATAGACAGTGGGTTCTGGGAAAGGGTCGGCTCTGGAGGCATGGTGTAAGGTGTACTAGAGGGAAGACTTCCCGGGATACTCACAGAGGCAGACTGGCTGGCTGTAGGAGGTGGGGGGCCACCTAGGAGAAGAAAGCAAAATAAAACAGGGCAGGGAATTAGATTCTCCTGAAGGTTCTTGGGCCTGTGATTATGAACTAGCAGGGCCAGGAATGAGACAGATGAGTGGGACAGTGTTATTAGACCCAGGACATGAATCATCAGTCATCTAGTCAAGCTCCGTATGTGTGCAGAGGGAGATGGCAGCGTGTAATGGAGGTGACAGCTCAGCAGATGGGAGGACAACGCACCAAGGATGCGTGAGAAATATTAGCTAAACTTGGGAAAACCACGTCTCACAAACAACTCCTTCACTGAAAACAATGGGAAATAAGTGGATCTCTTACCCTTGCCAACCACAATTCAGAATTCGCCTCTGGTGTTAGTGTGCTTGGAAGCCAGATGAGCCATCCCACCCCAGGTACTGACCAAAGCACCCGACACATGCTCCCGACTGATTTCTGCCACCAAGATGTCTGCACTCAAAAGGTCTGAGGGGGCCGCTCCACTGGACTGCTTTATAGAGAACAGCTACCCAACGGAGAGACACACTTTAACCTGGTAGGATAAATCTCCTATCTCATTCTGATTCTAGTCTTTCTCAAGTGGAGACAGCACAGACCTAGTATTTACACTAGGTGCTCATCTACTGACTGCCTCTGGTCCTATTCACAAAACCACCATCATCAGTGAGAACTTCCCCCAGGAAGAAAATACTAATAAATTGCAGCAGATCTGTGAGAACAGCAGTCTAAAAAGGAGAAGGTTTTGGAAACTGTTTCGATGGTCGACACATATTTACGAGAACCACTCAAGTCTCTCAGCAGTCTCCCCTCTTTGCTTGGGATGACACTCACACTCTCTTAACATGAAGGCAGACCTCTAAAGTGAGTGGGGCTGGTGTTTAAAGGAAACACATTTATCCACTGTTAAGATATTTTATTCCACCAATATGAGTTCCCTGTGCAAATGTAAATCGTTCAGTGAAATGATATGCATTTCTCATTCTCCTCCCAGTCCTATTTCATAAACATATTTTGCACTAAAGCCCATGAATCTTCACCAGGATTGGACACTTGAGCATAACCCCATGGGAGTACCAACTCTGCACCTTGCCACAAATACATCCATCTTGGCAAAAGCCCCCTTCTCTGGCTGCATAATCAGGACACCAGTTTTCTTAAAGTACGTAAACCAGGCTTTCACAATCTCTGGCTACAGGTGCAACTGTGAAGGTGAGAATATACTGACCTGACTCTACACTTGCCAGCATGGCAGGGGAGGCCATGGTGAGGGGTGCTTTGTGGTTTGGAGGGATCCCAGGACTCTGAAGGGGAGGTTTTGGAGACGAGGTCCATCCAGGTGATGGGGCGGGAAGTGATGGAGACTTGAGGTGAACAGGCGAAGCAGCAGCAGACCCCAAGACGGGCGGGGACTTAATGGAAGCAGCGGCAGCTGGGCCCGCCAGCATGCCTGCCAGCTGCGATGGAGTCTGGGGGGACTTGAGGTTCCCCGAGGGTGAGCCCAGCATTGGTGACTGGACTTGGCGCATCGTGGGGGATTTCAGAGGGTTGATGCCTGGGGAATGCACCTGGCTGCCTGCCACAGATATCTCCACGGGCTTCCGCCCCAGGCCGCGCTGAACGGGAGGAGCTGTGTTGAGGCTAGTGGGGTTATTGGAAGGGTTGAGAGGTAGTGGTGGCATATGACTGAGCCGGCTGTTAGTCCTTTGGTCGGGCCCCATGGGTTCTCTGAGATTCCGCAAGCCACTGTTGCTGCCTGGACCCTGAGACATGGGGAGGAACGGCCTGGGGCCCATGCCATACTCTTGCTGCGGGTGCTCGCCGAACGGCAGGGGCACCATCTTCTGCTGAGCAGGCAGCATGTCTGCGCCAGCCGCACGGAGCTTCAGCATTTCCTCGGGCCCCGCCCCAGCCTCTCTCATCTTCTGAGGTATCATCTGAGAGTTGGATCCCATGCTGACATTTAGACTGACATCTCCCTTCATCCCACTGGGAACCATCCCAAACTCAAGTTCCCGGCCTGGGCCCAGCTGCGGGGGCATTCCTTTGGGAAAGTCACCCCTGGAAGGGCTCAGTGGGCCCTCCACTGGTATTCGCGGGAAGATGGGGTTATTCCCTGGCTCCACGTGGCGCTGGGAGCCTGGGATCATCCTGTTCATCTCCATTCCGGGCCTGATGCCTTCCACGCTCATCCCCGGGGGCAGTCCCAGCTGCTTCTCTGCCAGCTGTTGTTGAAACATCTCTTCAGACAATCCTTGGGGGTTTGGGAAGCGCTCCCCTCGGCCAGGACCACTGAAGACGCCCTGGCCAGGCGGGAAGTTTCGACCATCTGGGATTTTTGGCACATCGTCTGGCCAGCTGACTGCAGAAAGACCTGGTCGCGATGCCGGGTTGGGGACATTGGGCCCCTCCATCTCAGAATTCATCATTCCCGCAAATCCAGGGAGGCGCATTTGGCTCCCTGGCATGTTGGGGTGGGGAGCCATGGCTCTCGGGGGCAGAGAATGTGGCATGTTGATCCCGTCGGCAAAGGGCTCTGCGCCCCCAGGCCCCCAGGCCTCGCCAGGGGCCATCTGGTACGGAGGGGGCGGCCCGCGGACCACCGCCCGCGGCCCGTGCTGATGGACCATCATGTCCTGGAGGGAGCACTGCTGCACGGCCACCTGCTCCTGCTTCCTCCTCTTCTCTTCGTAGAACTCCTGCTGCAGTTTCAGCCATGCTATCTGCTCAGGGGTCATGTGATCCAGGTGGTCGGGTCCAATGGGCCCAGACTGGGAGTTCATGGAGGGTGGAACCATTTCATCTGGAGAAAAGGGCACATCTCTGTGTCCTTGAGGGCCAAACGGAGCCCCCACGTCTGTCCGGGGCCCAGGTCCCTTACCTAGGCTTTGGGATTGAACCATCATGGCCTGTATAGGCCCTTCTGGTTTTTTCTGAGGTCCATCTAATACCCCAGTGTTCTGCTGGGGTCCCCCACTCTGTCCTCCTGGGAATTCCTTCTCATCGGGGAAAAGCATTCGCTGGATATCTCTGAGCGTTTGTAAGGAGCGCTCCCGGTGCTCCAGCTGCTCCTGAGAGAGTCCATCAGGGTTCTCCCCCAGTGTGGGGGGCTCGCCACTGGACACTGGTGGAGGCGGGGGGGCTTTGGGATCTGCTGAAGAGCTATTGCTCCCCTGGGAAGCAGGGGTCACGGCTCGATTGTTGGGCGTTGAGTTTGGCCCGGTACTGTCTGGGGGCAGTGGAGTGGAGCCGGCAGGGCTGCCGACAGAAGGGATCAGTTTGTTTTCTACCCCAGGACTGTCTCGGTCCAGGGGACGTGGGGGGGCGGCAGACTTGGGTGCTGGTGCCGGAATGGGGGGAGTTGGCTGCAGCCTGGTGTTCTGGGAAGAATTCTGGTCCTGGTTGGCTGGAGCTGGGGGCTGTTGTGGGAGAGGTTTCGGATCATTTCGAAGGGCAGATATCTGTGTGTTCTGAAGATAAACGAGATTTTAAAAATCATTGGTAAATTGAACAGAAGGGCAATGAAAAGAGCATGATATGTTATAAAGGACTGGTCCCAGCCACATATATCTACACTGACCCTTGCCGTAGAAACTGCTCATGTACAAACCCCATGGACGTGTTGGTGGTATAGTGGTGAGCATAGCTGCCTTCCAAACCCCATGGACATGAAGATATTTTGATTTTTTTCCTCACACTTTACTGTCAAATGGTATCCTCTTTCCCAAGCTGAAGATTAGGTTTCAATAACTTTATGAGCATGCCAAGGGAAAGCCACTCTGCTCGAGTGAATACATCTGAGTATCTATTTCGAGGAACAGGTTTGATATCACATGTCTACTACGTGTTTCTGATTCAGGGAGAGATTAGTTTCTCGGTATGTGGGAGGCTGTACCTAACACCTTTTTCTTTCGCTGAAAGTATAAATGGGTATGTAGACTTCTCACTGTCAATCAAAGAGTCTGATGTTTTAAACTGAAAAAGAAAGTCCTTGTCACTTCCAGCTCAGTGCTCTACCAGCCACAGGCGGCAGGTGAGGCTGCTCCACTTCACTGTCTCCCCGGGCACGGTGACTAGTGAAGCACTCCTCTCCTTTAGTTTCCAGGGGGCCTGACAGCTCTGATTTCTGTTTTCAGTCTGTGATCACTGATTCCATATTTGATAAGAACTTGCACATTAACTGCATAAGATAATCTGTAGGCAAGAAACATCTGTGGAGAAATCTGAGGCTAGCTCGTGGTGTCTCTTGATCTGTTCTTTCCAATAGAAAGCACATGGCCCTTTCTACAGGCTGAATGAGTGTCTTCTTATTATTTATTAAGTACCAATGCCACATTTAAGTCCTGGGTAAAGGCAGGCTCACCTGTAAGAGGTGACATGGATGTTGTCAGTGTTTGGAAGAGGGATATAAAATGTTCTGTATCTATGCCTTGGCCCTGCTGGAAGTTCGGGTACTAGAGAAGGGCAGTACTGCAGAATAGAAGGGCCCAGCCTGCCAATCCTCAACAGATCTCAAGAGCTGCAGGATCCCTTTTTGATGTTCACTTCCTTCTACATGTTCACTTAATCCAGTCTGTACTTCCAAACCCCTAAGGCTCTCACTTACATCCCCACCTACTCTCTGGAATGTTTCTCAAGGTACAAATTTGTACAGAAATCATTACATGTATCCCTAAACACGAACAGCTCACATTCTGTGGACATGTACGTAAATGCTCCACGTGCTGGTCTTCTCCATGCATCTCTGCTGCAGACCCAGACTGAGGTGGGCAGACTGGCTGAACCTAGATGACTCTGGACGTCAGCGTCCTCAGTGTCTCTGACTACATAACTGGAGCCTGGAGGTCACCTTAATTTTCTCTCCAGAGCCAGTTTACGTTTGGTTTTGTTGGCCAGGCTGTGTTTGTGTTAAAGGTGGATACTCATTTCCTATAAGGGTGACTATGACAGAAGAAATGGTTTAGTACCACTCTTTTTATTTTAGATTTGGAGCAATGGTGATGGGACTATCCCCAATACCCTCGTTAACGCCTCTTCTGATTTCATTTTAGTACTAGAGGAGGTGGAGGTAAAAACTGTATGAAGATCTGTCATTAAGTCAATAAAACGCCAGTTTGAGCTGCAAAGTGCCCTATATATTCCAGAACAATATAAAATATAAATACTTTTAAATTAAAAATAGTATACATTTATATATAATTATATATGATATATATAATTATAATTATACATTTAAAATATTATATATGTACTTCTTCTACCCTTGATTAGTGGAGATACAGAGAGACAGGAAATACCTTTTCTTGGTCTAGGAAAGCTCAAGCCCTGCTATGTCACGGGGAGGTATCCTAAGTTTTCATACAACATGGGCAAAACGTTATCTATTCTATACTCAACTGTCACTTCAGTCATTTAACTTTTCCCAGGTTTAAGACTCATCCCAGTTTTATAGTTTATGCTTCCTGAAATCAGGGACTGTGTCTTGAACCTCTAGTGTCCCCACAGCACTGGGTGCAATGCCTTGACAATCTGAGACACAAGAAATACCTTTTGTTTCAATCTGAGACACTACATATATTGAAACAACCACTGCATGAGTGTTCTAATGTAGTTTACAGCAGGTGCTTAAGTTCCAAAGAGGAAACAAACTAACATTAACTATAATTTTGAAAATATCAAGCAATTAAAAACATTCAATGGTTCTCTCACTCTGAAATAAATAAGAATCATTCTGAAAGTCACTGAGACTCTAATTATGGAACTATCAGCATGTACTCCAATACTGTAGGGTGGCAGTAAACTGTTTCTTCTGTCACAGTCTATAGGAAACCAGTGTCCACCCTTAACTGTCGTTTTTTCTCTGTTCTTTAAGTAACTCAAGAGTATGTATTATTTTTTTTTAAATGCAGGGTCTGAATTCAGAATTTCCCAGAGATGGCCACATTAAGGAAATCCTAAGATATCCATATGTCTCTTTTTTTTACTTTGCACCTCTTCTCTTCTAGTAACTCATCAATATATCAGCATGCTAGCAGAAAAGGCCAGTGTGATGTGCCTATAACTACACAACTAGGTTAAAGGCTCAAAATGTAGCTGATACCAAGATTATCTCCCTACTGAACCCTCGTGGATTGTTGGTGGGAATGTATACTGGCGTAGGCACTATGGAAAACAGTGGGAGATTCCACAAAGAATTACAAATACAACTAACATATAATCCAGCAATTTCACTCCTGGCTATTTATCTGAAGAAAACAAAAACACCAATTAGAAAAGGTATCTGTACCCTTATGTTGTTCACTGAAGCATTATTTACAATAGCCAAGATATGGAAGCAACCTAAGTGCCCATTAATAGATGAATAAAGACTATATGGTGTACACACACACACACAAACACACAATGGAGTATTACTTAGCCATTAAGAAAGAATGAAACCTTGCCATTTTCAAAAACATGGATGGACCTAGAGGGTATTGTGCTAAGTGAAATAAGTCAGAGAAAGACAAACATGTGGAATCTAAAAAAACAAAGCAAATGATTAAACATAACTAAACAGGAACAGAGTCACAGATATAGAGAACAAACAGGTAGTTTAAAGAGGAGGGGGGCCATGGGAGGAGGACATAAACAGGTGATCAAAATTGAGAGTACAATCTTTCAGTTACAAAATAAATGAGTAATAGGTGTGAAATGTACAGTCTGGGGGATATAGTCAATAACTATGTGATATCTTTGTACAGTGATACATGGTGACTAGACTTATGGTGATCACTTTGAAATGTATAGAAATATCATTTCACTATGTTGTATACCACAAACTAACACAGTATAGGTCAGTTAAACTTCACAAACAAGCTCACAGAAAAACAGATTAGATTTGTGATTACCAAAAGTGGGGGGACTGGGAGAGAGGGAATTAGAGGAGGGCAGCAAAAAGGTATAAACTTCTAGTTATAGGATAAGTACGTACTAGGAATGTAACGTATAACATGATAAATATAATCAATGCTGCTGCATGTTCTACGTAAAACTTAAGAAAGTACACCTAAGAGTTCTCATCACAAGGCAAAAAAAAAGTTTTGTCTTAAATTTTGTATGTATATGAGATGATAATCATTTTGTAACGTATGTGAATTAAAGTATACAGTACAGTTGGCTGTACACTTTAACTTATACAGTGCTGTCCATCAACTACATCTCAATAAAACTGGAAGAAGGAAAAAAGACTGTCAGTGAATTCACCATCTCCCATCTTTAGAGTCACCTTATAACCTTTAAACCATTATTCCACTTCTAAGATGACATACCAGAGGGGCTGTGCTTCTCTCTGTCTTGCTGTTAGAGATGTTCTGGATGTGGAAAGAGACGATAGTTTCAACCTGGCCCTTTAACACAGCTTCTGCAGCCCTGCAGAGAGAGAAGAGATGCACACACTAGGACTTGTTTCTATTTCACTGACTGAAATTCTAAAGCATTTTAACCCCAGACGGAACTGGTATGAGACAGGAAGAAGTATAAAGAACCAGCAGCAAAGTCCAGTGAGAAGAAATCAAGATAAAAACGTTTTCATTACTTGTCTGTCATTTACTGTAACTCTTCTGAAATTTAAAGACAGCCATTAGCAAATCTCAAAAGAGGCATTAAAAACCCCCAGGGATTTTTTCCTTTAAACCCATCCACTCTAGTAGGTGTTTTATAGAGAATCCTAGTTCAAAATCCCAACCCAAGAAGAGTAAAATGAATTCTCACACCTTATCGTAATTTAAGGTTGCCAAGATTCACTCTATATCTTAATTTTTAAAATGTTAGATGAAAAGTCAGAAAACTATGTAGTGTATATTCACATTTTAAATAAACAAATATCCAATGATGCATCTGTCTACTAGAAACATGTACCAAAACATTCATAATAGTTATCTCTATAAATTCTTGAGACTTTTTATTTACAGTCTCTAATTATTCTAAATGGACATGTATTACTTATGTATGCCATTTTAAAAGAATACTGAGTTGCAGAAAAGTGTGTACTGGCCATCGATCCTTTTCCTGTTTAAAAAAGTATATATACATGTATCTGTATAAGCATGAAAAGTTTCTCTGGAAGGAAAGCCAAGGAACTACCACCAACAGTTGCCTCTGGGAGTAGGGGCGTGGGGGTTTTATATTTTATTTTACCGCTTTCTGTAGTGTTAACCTTAAGTAATAATACAAGTGGGCAAAAAAAAGGTCAATCTTCAAAGGGAATAAAAATTCAGATGCCCCAACACGCAAGCCACACCAGCTGTCCATCAACTACATCTCAATAAAACTGGAAGAAGGAAAAAAGACTATCAGTGAATTCACAGCCATTAACTTACTTATTAGCCATCTCAGTAGAAAACACATACACCACTTTGGCAGGAGTCTTCTGAGCAGGTGTGGGCTCTGGGGCAGTAGTCTGGCCATGGGAGGGGGTGGAAGACCTGGGGACTGTAGCATTTGATGGGGTCATTGAGTGTGGTGTGTGTTGGGAATCCTGGGACTTTATGTGGTCGGCAGAATTACATTCTAAAAAAATAAAAAGAAGATTCATGTTATAGAAAGTATAAAGCTTTCTTTTTTTCTGCCAGCATTTATAGCATCATAATGCAAACACCTTGAAAATTTCAAGGAGGAAGTACCTTGCTAAGAGGAAATTCTTCTATTCGTAAAAATACAAGTACACTTCTCCCATTTAAATGACTAAGTACAAAGCGCTCTTCCCCACCTCCTTACTGCTCTACTACACATTCTTTGAAAAGTGTGAAAGTGTTAATTGCTCAGTCGTATCCAACTCTTTGTGACCCTGTGGACTGTAGCCTGCCAGGCTCCTCTGTCCCTGGAATTCTCCAGGCAAGAATACTGGAGTGGGTAGTCATTCTCTTCTCCAGGGGATATTCCCAACCCAGGGATTGAACCCAGGTCTCCTGCACTGCAGGCAGATTCTTTACCGTCTGAGCCACCAGGGTTTAGATATTAGCATAAATGTCCCTCCTTCCTGGAAACCCTTTTGGAACCTCCTGGGCTGGATGTCCTTGCTAGTTAGACCCATAGCCCCCTAACTTCCCTTACTTCAGCATTTATCAAATTTTATTGTAATTTTTTAAATGATCTGTTATCTAGGTGCATTTAAACCCTTGAGGATAGCAACTGTTTCAGTTTTGCTGATCATGGCACCGCCAGCACCCAGCATAGTGCTGGTGCTCAAAACAGGCCCCCCACAACCAACCTGAAGAAGACAGGAAAGACAGGGGAACCATCACCCAGGTACTCATTTCCAATTTGGGTTGGGGAGTCACCGTTCTGCTCCATGAATATTAGTTTCACATTCCGGCCTACACAGTTACAACGTTCATTTTACACTAAGTGAAGGAAAGCCTAAGGGCACGGCCACTGTCCCGTCCCCTTCCTGGCTCTCTCCACTGTGGTGCCTACAGGATCTCTACCACATGGAGCCCCTCGTTCCTGCCACGGTGAAACTGGCTGGGACGATCTAGACTTGTGCCAGGGCGGCCTCTTGTACCTACAACTGGCAAAATGGCAGCCAGAGTGCATGCAACTCAAGTCTTGAAGGACTAATTTCATGGAGAAGAGGAGTTGTCAGAAAAATTGCTCCAGTGTGGGCTCTGGCATAGACAAACTGGAGTTATTGGCTGACACTCAAGTACACAAAAGCACAGAGACCAGGAACATCCCTAAGTCCATGGTTAGGGTTGTGCAGCATCCTCAAACACTTGCATCCTCAAGGGCAAGAACTTAACAAGGTCGTTCCAACCTATTCTTCAGTTCATAGGAAAATGACCAGAAAGAGTTCCATCTGAAACTCCGAGAATGCCTGGATCCGATTCCTACTCTCCCCACTTGGCTACTATTAGGCTCTCCGGCATCCGTCCATGTCAGAGGCCCTCCCTCAGGAATACCTACTTCCCTCTGAGTCTCAAAGATCTTATAGACATACCTTTCATGTCAGAGTCATCGTTTGGAGTCCCAGGATCTCTCTGATCAAAGGAGTCGGCGGAAATACTTCGCTCCCTTTTCCCCTTGCCCTTGGCACCATTTCCAGCCCCATTCTTCAGCCCCATGCTCCCACCTGGGCCAGGGAGTGCTTTAGGGGTATGGCCCCCACTCTTGGAGTCACAGGGGGATGGCTGGGATTGGCTGGCTGAGCCCCCCTGTTTACCCTGATTGGAGAATTTGGAATCCAGCTGGGGGTTTCCAGATGGGGACATCACTGTAGGGGGACGGACCATCACCTCCTGCTTTGACTTAGGGCTACTAGAAGAGACAAATAACAAAGGGAGATCAGACACCAGGCAAGACTGGGCAGCACAAATCAGAGAGGTCTGATTTCAATCACACGTCAGGGAGACCTGGACAGCTAAAGTAACCACCCCACCTTTCACTTAAGCCACTTGCTTGCTGCCTTCTCCCCATTCTCAGAGCTCTCAACGGAGAGGAGGATTTGGGCAGAGTGGCCTGTCTCGTCTCGGGAACCCTAGAGTCACATGGGAACCTATCGCTAGGGTTTCTGTCAATAAAGGACAACGGTTTCTATGTACATAGAGAAATGACTCTCACACTAAGACTAGCTCAGAGTAAACAAACAGACATCGTTAAGATCAAAATACTACCCACCCCTCGGCTGATGAACAAGGAACAGCTGTAACAAGAGACTGGCTTCCCTGCTGGAAAACACAAGCAGGTCTGGGAGAGTGTGAGGAAAGCCGCTGGTGACTGGCAGGTTAGGGAAACCCTCCAGGACACTAATCAGCAAATAAGTATCACACCAGAGCAAACACACTAACCACTGCCTCCAGGGGCAGAGGAAGAAATTCTTTTAAGGCATCAATTTTGTGGAACAGAGGAAAAAGCTTCACAGTGGGGGTCAGGGGCTGGTGTTTCAGTTCTAGGACCTTAGGCCTCCTCAGCTTTCCAGGTCTCAGTTTCCTCCTTTGACAAGTTTAGCACGTTGTACTGGATGGTTTTTAATGTTTTGTTGAGGGGAGCTGTAATAAGGAGCAGTCAGGTAATGATGGACAAATGAGTAAGAGGAGAACGCTAACCTGAACTTTGACTCACTATTCTATCACTGTCTACTTGTGTCTTTTTCTTTTCCCATTTGGGTCTCATGATTCAACATACTGTTCCACCAGTGAGTGTTCAGGGTCCACTATGATGTCCCCAAGGGGCGGTCAGGCCAGGCCCTGGGGCTCACCTCTGTGTGTTTCCTGACGGAGAGTTCCTCACTTTAGGGTTACTGGAATGCATTGATTGAAATCCTGAGCTCGCAGCCACAAACAGGGACGGGCTCACCGAGTTCCTCTCGGGCTGCAGCGGGAACAGCTGCTGGGGGCAGCGGCAGGGGCCCACTGCGTGCCGGGTGCGGCCCTTAGTGCTGGCTGCCTGCACGCCTTTTTCCTCTTTGTTTTTCTCCGCTGTGGAAGTGGGTCCTGTCCCCTTGCGGCTCCAGCATTCTCTGGGTGTGTGCCTCCGGCTGCCAAAGGAAAATCTCGCATCTCCAGGGCACACTGGGAACAGAAACAGAGACATCCAACACCTTTATAGCAGGACCAAGGCTAAAGCCCCACCTCAACAGTGCAGAAGCAGACGGTTCCTCAGCTTCCCTCAGGGTGAAAGGAAAGGGCGATGTTCATATTCTGGCCAAAAGGCTCTGGTGCTAAAGCAGCGGAAGAGTGACTAAGACTTTCTGCCAGGCATACAAGCCTCCCACCCAAGCATCATATACCAGGAGTCTGTAAGCAGATGAGAAAAACATTTTTATCTTTAGCTGTGTATTCTTCCTTACATTTCTCTACTTCCAAATACAAAACCCTCAAAAACTTGGGTTTTTCTTTCTTCAAAACAATGCTCTGAAACCACTGGGTACTCCAAATCCATAGCAACTATCTGGTGCTTCACCTCTGATGGCACTGAAATGTACAAACCCATCCCAATTTCAAACCATGAAACAAATTACTCTCTGTTTATATTCTCAGGGCCTCAGGGTGGGGAAGACATTAAAGGAGGTACTTCTGAAATCAACTATTGAGCCAATAGCAAATATAATCAGTTCTGCCCCCTGATTTCTCTGATCTTTCTATTAAATTATGCTGAGTACGTGTCCTGTGTTCCCACTGCTTAATGACAGGAGCTGTAGGCATGGGTAAGCAAGGGAATGATCCATAATGTGGAGGTGAAAGAACATCTTTGAAGACTAAGATATTTTTTGAGCCAATTTGCAAGGCTAATTTGAAGCATAAAGGTCAAAAAAAGATTCCCCAAACTATGAGAGAACAAATGAGAAAGCCCTTTATTTAGAGAAATCTAAACTGGTTCAGGGAAAACCAAGATACACTTTCAGTCACTGCTCCTTCCAGGGCAGTTCCAATGTGATTTTTTTGGTAACCATGGTCCCCTCCCCCTCCCTCCCTCATGCCATCTTTACTAATGAGGTATAGGACTGAGGAGAATATTAGATGCAGAATTAAAGGCTAAAGAATCAAAAGGAGTTAGAAGTCACTTCGGTGTTACATACACTACAAGAGGTTCAAGAACTGGACTAAAATTGGGAGAAACCCTTATATTCTAGAACTCAGCAATGAGTATGATCGTTGTCAAGTATTAAATGTCTATTTCCTCATTTAGAAATAGTCCCAGCTATTTCACCTGAGAGCATGAGAGGAATTTATGGATGTTCTGAGTATACACAATCATGTTTTTTTCTTTTAAATGAAGAAGGCAAGATAAAGAACTCGAGTAAAATGCTATAGAATATTTCTACACTGACCTTAGGAAAAAGCATCCTAAAAACATTTGAGTCTCAATTATATTTAGGGTTGCATGTTTATTCCCTACCACCTTTAGCTCCCTCCCCCCAGTTTAGATTCTAAAACTGATTATGGCTGTGAAGCTCAACATAATATATGATCATAAACCATACTGTCCCTCTCACTAAATATCAGGAATCATTGGTAAAACAGAAGCAGTCAATGAATCTTCCATGGACAAAGCCAACAGAAAACACTTACCTCAGGAAAAGAAAAGAAGTTACCACCTGTATAGTCCCTTCTGTAATTTCTTCTGGTACTTTCTGTCTGTATCACACATTTGAGCACTCCAATCATGTGTTAAACTGAATAGTCCCATGTGCATGATTTACCTCCCTATGAAGACTATGCGCTTTGAAGACAAGAACCTTGTTTTAAATTTCTTTGGTTTTTTTATAGTACTCAATATAATGTACTAAGAATGTGGTTAAACCCTAGGTGAGTTACAGAGCAGAAACGCCTGGCACTTGTGTTACACTCCTTCTAAAGAAACTCTAAACATTAAAAGTACCAAATCACCTCAATCTGCCAGGCACTTCTGATGAGCTGGTAGCAAAGATTATTTCTAAATAATAATAATGTGAACAGAAAACATTTTCAAAGTATTTCCACATAGTTTCTTAAACTCACTATACCGTGATCAATGGCATTTTATAGATGAATGGATGGAGCACAGTGGCGTGAATGCCTTCTCCCAGGTTTCCAATCAGTGCTCCCTGACCTGCTCTTTCTTCAAAGCCATCTCCTTGCCATTACTTTATGAGTGGAGAAACAGCAAAGAAGGTTGAAACAAGTACATGGACTCACTAGAGATGGGAATAAAATCCAGCTGTTTTAACCCCTAATCCAAAGCCACCAAATCTTCAAACCTCTTTTTATCATTGCCTATCCCCTCTTTTTTCTCCATTACTGCAATCAAAAAAAAAAAGCCCACTTTTCCCCCAAAGGTTAGTCCTACCATAGGTGGTCTAGCCCCATCCCTTTCAGCTGACTGAGTACTCCCTCTTTTCCATGATCACCCTTCTACATCCTGCATCTCCTGGATATTTCCAATCGGCTTTCAGACATGTTATTCTACCTTCCAGATGAAATAATAATGATAAGGCAAAACAAAACTGGCTCTGGCATTCTATTCCCCTTTGAAGTCAAGTTTCTTTACAGAGTTGACAAGACACAGCCTTCATTTCCTTACTTGCCATTCACCCTTTAACCATCTTAAACCAACTTCTACCCACAGATCACAAAAACCACGACTCTTGTTAAGGTCACAACTGACCGCTTTTCTAGCCTCATCTTACTCCATCTCATAGACTATGCCAGTTGAACACTCCTTCTTGAAACTCCTCTCTCGGCTCTATAATACCACACTTTCCCAGTCTTCCTCCTTCCTCTCAAGTCACTCTTCATCTGCTTCCTTTGCTGACCCCTTCTCTACTCAATCTCTACAATTTCAAGTTCCTCACAGCTCTACCCCGGGTCCTCTTCTCTTCTCATTCTCTAAGTTCTTTCCATGCCAAGAACTCCCAAATTTCCATCCAGCTCAGCTTCTGCCCTGCTGACCTGTATACACAACTGCCAACTTGGCATCCTACTAGACGTCTGAAACCTAACAAGGTCAAAGATGAATTCTTCATCCCTATATAGCCTCCCTCCCCAACGTATTTCCCCTTCAGCTTTCTACATTTTAGTAAATGGCATCTTCATCCACCCAGTTGCTCATGCCAGAAATTTGGAGTCATCCTTGACACCTCTCTCCCTCACCCCTAACCTTCCCATGTCAAATTTGAATATTTTTGCAGAGTGAAGAAAATCTCAGTTTCACTGTTTTTTCTTCAAAGATAAAAGGATACTGTAAAGCCACTAATCTAGATGAAATGCTCCATTACATTCTTTTCATAGCATCCTGTTTTTCTTTCACAACATTTCTCATGTTGTATAATTATGTGGTCATTTGCATTAACATTCATCTGTCATGCTAAGCTCCATGAAGGTAGGAGGATCCGTAAAGGATCAAGACTGATTTGTTCATCCTTGTATTCCTAGTACTTGCTATAGTATCGGATACATGCCATCTGCTCAAAAAATATTTGTTGAATAAAAGTTGAAGCTTTCCCCGAAGATCATCTCCTAAGCCAGGCCTGCTTTCTAGGGCCCCTATCCATCCATCAGGCTACTCACCAAAACCCCAAGGGTCACGATAAGGCGGTGCTCATCCTGGAAGTGGGGAGCTTGGGGAGTCCAGGAACCCCTGTCTCAGAGGTGACCCTCACCTGGATGAGGATAAAGGAAAGAAGAAGAGTTTCTAAGGAATGAAAACAAAATCATCAGTGCCACTTAGTTACTATCTGAAGATCCTATCTACAGGGTATTAGTTTAAGAGGAAGTTGTCGTCTCCCATGTAAACAGCATCAGCTTCCAATTATTTCAGGGTATATCATCCAACCTGCAGATACCTCAAGGCCCTTGTAACTTTCCCTCCTTCCCAAGTGCATATTTTCTTTTCAGAGACTGGAAAAATATTAAAGGCAAAGAAAATCGATTTGTCTACTTTTCTGAACAGTTAGTAGGGAAAAAAAATCCTCACATTTTTGCTTCTTCCCATTCCTAATTAGTACAGAGAATTGAGAGCTGACTATGGAGGTGAAAGAGACAAAATTCCAGACACACTTTTGAATTCACAAAGCGCATACCATTCCCAGGTCCTCCCTACTCTCAACTGTAACTTTACACAGCAAGCATTTAGCAAGGAAATTTATTTTCATACCCTTTTGGGAGAATATATGAGTGAATGACAGGGCCACAAGATCTCCTTTACTTGACAGCCTACTGTGTGTGAAATGCTATACCAAGTTGAGCTAGGTAAATCGGTAAAAGACTAAGTAACTCAGCAGGCAGAACTATTTCCAACATTAGTCCTTGTAAACTACAATGATAATGCTGAGCCTCCCCCTTCACCCAGAATTTATAGTTTTGAAATGGCAGGGAAAAACCAAGTTCCAGACTGTCCTAAGGCCAAATTTCTCAGGAATCTTTAAAAGGAGATTCTATAAGGTTGCCATGAAGCTGTCAATAAATCCACAACTTGGTCTAACTTAGCTCAGAATCACCTCTACAATTCCAATTTCAACTTTTCCAATGATCCTTTCCCACTCTCCTGCTCTAAGAAGTCAAGTTTATTACAAGTATGTCAAGTTTAATAAATTTCATTTCTATGCTATGACCACTACGCCATAAAAGGCATAGTATCAAACTTAGAATGTGGAACTAAAAGGCCCTGGGATTCCATTCCGAGCTCATTCTTAAGTTCTGGCATACCAGCTACTAAAAGGCTTCCTTCTCAGAATACACAATAGGAAGAACCAATCTTTCCCAAATATGTGGAGAAAAGAACACTATACTATAGTCTTATGTAAAAAACCTTGGTCCTAACAAAACGCTAAG